GGAATAGATTATTGTCACAGAAACAATACAAAAATGTGAATGATAACAGATGTTTCGTGAAAGGCAGATGTCAAACACCTTTATTTACTGTACGTATAATCAGGGACTTAACTAGAGTATTTGGCACCTGAGGCGGACCCTTCCTTTGACACCCCCCCCCCAGATGAATATTCTTAAAAATTAAATACACAAACTTATATCATGTTTGTAAGTAAATTGGAAATAAGAATTATGCAGGACATTAAAAAAAAATCATCAAACAGGTATAATAAAAACGAATCTCCAACCACAGAGCAAACATCACCACTGAGAATTTCGTAAAAGGTAACAGAACATCCCTGGGCTACACACCGCAAACTGATGAGTAAGAATCAGCCGCGAAACTACACACTACACCGAAGGGACAAATTCTCACATTTAGAAAAGGTGAATTGGTCTTATATAACCTAACCATAACTTTTCGTATACTTATATGCGTAATGGAATCTTTTACTGTCACAACTAACACTCACGAGGCGATGGGAAAAAATTTCAGCGTCAAAATAAAATAACCTAACCTAACCTAACCTAACCTAACCTAACCTAACCTAACCTAACCTAACCTAACCTAACCGTCTCACTTCTAAATATTAATAACATCTCAACTAAAATTGTCCTTGTTGTTTCCGTCGGGCTCCACTATGAACCTAACACTAAATATCACTTGTTTCCGTATTTACAGTTATATTTCACTATCCGTCAGCCAGGTGTGGTGATAGGTGTCTGGCGTTCAGTGTTTATATTCACTCGGTGTCTAACTCAGTGTGTACTTGATGTGTGTATTATACTCGACTGTGTATCTTATGAATAACATATTTGCGACGGTAAAATCTTGTGAATTATTTATCATTTGAGTTGTCAGTTAAACTTTTTAGTAATACAATGAAAATATCCTTGGAAACCTGAACTGATATTATTATTATTTATTTTTTTTTTGCAATATTTTTCATTTGGTTTGTGTCGATAGTATCTCCCCAAGTTATCACCCAGGCGGACCATCCTCTCTTTCCTTGATGCCGAGATATAATGCAGGTGTGTGTAAGGGGAATATTCGCAATTGTGTTTTACGATCAAGCAATTCTACATTTGCACAAACAGGTGAAGCAGGTGTTTTGGATAATATGCTAAAGGTATGGGGCGGCGTACAAGCCCAACAGGTGTGTCAGGTATCAACAATGATGACAGAGATAAAGCGGTACTACAAGCATCACGCAATCAACTGTTCTGACTCCCGCCACGAGTGTCAATGAACTCAGGACAATACTACAGACGGACGATGATGGGGGAGACTGTGTTGGAGAGAGGGAGATGGAGGGAAGGAAGAAGTGTGATGATGATGATGATGATGATGATGATGATGACAGAGAGAGAGAGAGTGTGTGTGTTGGTATGAAGAAGGATAAAGCAGGGAAGAGTAAACGAAGGAAAGAGAAAGGGAAGTCCTGGAGGGAGGGATGAAGGGGAATGTTATAGGGAAGGAAGGAAGGAAGGAAGGAAGGAAGGAAGGAAGGAAGGAAGGAATCCAATTTTAAATTTTTCTTCAGCAATAATAATAATAATGATGATAATAAAAACAAAAACAAAACAACGACAACAATAATAATAACAATAAAAACAACAACACCACTACCCATAATAACACAAGGAACAATAATAATAAATTACACAAACTGGATTTACCCCACGTGACAGGTTATCACCAGAGGACGATGACCTGAAGGATGAAAAGGGTGGGGAGGGAGAATAAGCAGAGAGAAAGAAAGTGGGGAGAGAACATCGTCTTAAGAAACTTCCGGCATTAAGACTCTTAGGGGTATAACTTGGTTATATGAGACTCTTGTCGGCTTCTGGGAGGAGGTAGAAGTGGGGGAGGGGAAGAGGTGGAAGGGGTGGTGGGGAGAAAGAGTGGGAAGGAGGAGTTGGAATGAGAGGAGAGTGGGGAAGGAGGGAAAAGTGGGGAGTTAATGAGAGTAGGGGAGGGGAGGAAGGGAGGGGGAAGGAGAGCAGAGGAGAGGGTAGGAGAGAAGGGGAGGGGGAAGCAGAGAGAAGGGGAGGAGAAGAAGCAATAAAGAGGGTGGGGGAGGAGAGACAAGGAAAAAGAGATAAAGGGGAGGGGAGGAAGGAGGGGGGTGATACAACACCCTCCCTCGTCACACCTGTTAAGTATAAAGTCACGACACCTGAGTCACAATGGGATACACCTGTTATTAGCGATGCATCACACCTATTCTTGTACCAACACTCCCTTTACACCTGTCTCAACCTTACAACACACCTGCATCAACGCTACACCAACACCTGTCTCAACCCTACAACACACCTGCATCAACGCTACACCAACACCTGTCGCAACCCTACAACACACCTGTCGCAACCCTACAACACACCTGCCTCAATGCCATACCTCAGACAATACCTGTTTAAACCACACACAATAAACATAATGGGGATCAATATCTTTATAAACTAATAAGCAGCCTTAAGCCAAACCTGACCTGACCTGACCTGACCTGACCCTGAACTTCAGTGCCAAGGTATTGTAAAGTACCGGAGGGTTGGGTTGGATTAGGTTAGGTTAGGTTAGAGTAAGATTCAGGTAGATTATATTAAGTCACGTAAAATACTAGGGGGCTAAGTTAAGTTAAGTTAGGCTAAATATGATTAAAGTTAAGCTAGATCAAGTTCCAGGTTGGGTACGAATCCGAAAGACTCACCTTCATACAAGTTCCGACACACACAAAAACAGACACACACACACACACACACACACACACACACACACACACACACACACACACACACACACACACACACACACAGAAAAACAAAAACACTTAGCCGTCTCCAGGTACAAAATAGGGAAGGGGTTGGCAGTGACATCAGAGGGAAGTGGGGGAGGTGAGGGGAGGCGGAAGGAAGAGGGACTCTTAGCGACTTTACCATTGATCTACTACTGTCTACCAATCTATCATCTATCAGTCTACCAATCTATCATCTATCAGTCTACCAATCTATCATCTATCAGTCTACCAATCTATCATCTATAGTCCAATCTCATCTATCAGTCTACAATATATCATCTATCAGTCAACTCTATCATCCAGTCTACCAATCTATCATCTATCAGTCTACCAATCTATCATCTATCAGTCTACCAATCTATCATCTATCAGTCTAATCTATCATCTAATCTATCATCTATCAGTCTAATCTATCATCTAGTCTACCAATATCATCTATCAGTCTCAATATATCATCTATCAGTCTACCAATCTATCTTCATATCATTTCCTCTTTAGTCTATATAATATATATCATCTATCAGTCTACCAATCTATCATCTATCAGTCTACCAATCTATCATCTATCAGTCTACAATCTATCATCTATCAGTCTACCAATCTATCATCTATCAGTCTACCAATCTATCATCTATCAGTCTACCAATATATCATCTATCAGTCTACCAATATATCATCTATCAGTCTACCAATCTATCATCTATCAGTCTACCAATATATCATCTATCGTCTTCACCAATCTCCCATCTATTATCAGTCTACCAATCTATCATCTATCAGTCTACCAATCATCTCTATCATCTACCAATCTATCATCTATCAGTCTACCAATCTATCTATCTCTACAATCTATCATCTATCAGTCTACATCTACTATCTCTACCAATATATTATCAGTCTACAATCTATCATCTATCAGTCTACCAATCTATCATCTATCAGTCTACAATCTATCATATCAGTCTACAATCTATCATCTATCAGTCTACCAATCTATCATACTTACAGGGGGCCGGTGGGGGAGGCTGATAAACCCAGATATGTAAACAAACTAATATCCTCGGGTCGGGTTTGGTCTCGATGTAAACTGAGCATGAATTAAGAGACACAGGAATCATACAATAAACTATAATTAGCAGATTGAGGAAGACATGTTGGCCCTTGAGAGAGAGAGAGAGAGAGAGGGGGGAGGAGAGAGTATTTATCAAAACACTGAATGTATGACAACTAGCGTCAACTTGAAGACCCACAACTGTTGGTCGTCCGCCTTATAACCCCCATCTACGTACCCCGTCCCCCCACCAATCTCCTCCTCTTCTCCCCACCTACCCTATCTCCTCACGCCTCTTCTCCTCCTACCAATCTCCTCCTCTCTTCCTCCACCTCCACCTACACCCCTCCTCCTACCAAACCCATCATGCAAATTAAGTCACCTCACTACACGTCACCACCCACATCAAAGACGTCATGCACCAAGATGAGAAAACACCTACTATAAGGCTTTAGGGTAACATAACCGTATAATCCAGGCTAATAACATAAAATAATCAATATACTTTATATTGATAATAAAACCTTTTTTTACTCTTTTTTATATAATTTTAAAAGGCTTCTGGTGATTCCGTTTTGGTTGTGGCGACTTTATATTTGATAATTGGTTAATTAAAATATAACCTGGTTGACAACATCCAACACAAACAAGAGACTTATATCTCTCTCTGGTAACACATAAACAAGAGAGACATCTATCTCTCTGGTAACACATAAACAAGAGAGACATCTATCTCACTGGTAACACATAAACAAGAGAGACATCTATCTCTCTGGTAACACATAAACAAGAGACATCTATCTCTCTGGTAACACATAAACAAGAGAGACATCTATCTCACTGGTAACACATAAACAAGAGACATCTATCTCTCTGGTAACACATAAACAAGAGACATCTATCTCTCTGGTAACACATAAACAAGAGAGACATCTATCTCTCTGGTAACACATAAACAAGAGACATCTATCTCTCTGGTAACACATAAACAAGAGAGACATCTATCTCTCTGGTAACACATAAACAAGAGACATCTATCTCTCTGGTAACACATAAACAAGAGAGACATCTATCTCTCTGGTAACACATAAACAAGAACGAGTACTCACCTCGTTTCTGCATGAATGAGAACAGCTCGTCCAGAAACTCTTTCCGTTTCACCTCGTCACTCAGCTCGTACAGCTGTAAAGACAGAACACACCTGTTAACTACCTGCACACACTGACACTCAACACCTGTGCTCCTCACCTGAACAATATATACACAACTGATTAACTTTCACTATCTTGTGCTAAAAATAAACTTTATATTATATCACAATTTATTTTAAAAGATATATATATATAACATATTTTTCACATATAGTCAAATAAACTTCAGTTAAAATGGTTAATGGGGTTTATTAAAGATATACAGGGAGGTACATATACTGTATATAAACTAACTCAACACTACAGTAGGCATGCCATACGCTCTCTATCTACACACTATACAGGGACTACAACTAGACAGTGCTATGGTGATTTTGATGAGATAATAAGAGAAACAGACAGACAGACAGAGAGAGAAGAGACAGAGAAAGTGAAGAAACACACACACACACACACACACACACACACACACACACACACACACACACACACACACACACACACACACACACACACACACCTCTCCTTCCATCATACCTCTATAACATTATATCTACAAACTCTCTGCATTGGTTATCTTTGTCATCATGTTCACTAGTTATCACCCTAATTAGTTATCTTGGCCACATGTTATCTTTAGTTATTAGTTTATCTAGTTTAACTTGATATTTGTTATCCTAGTTATCTTAACATTTATTCCAGCTATATTACTCATAAATTATTCCAGTTATTTGGCTTTAGTTATCTTAGCCTCTGGTAATCTTAGTTCATTGGTTATCTTGATTTACTGGTTAGCTTTGTTCACTAAATATCTTAGGTATTTGATATCTCGATTCTGAGGTTATCTTACCCATCATCTATCTTCATTTACTAGATATCTTGGCCACTGGTAATCTTGGTTCTCTAGTTATCTTGACTATTATTTATCTTGAATCACTAGTAGATCATTTTGGTTAACTAGTAATAATAGTCAGTTCCAGGAGCTATATTAAAACCCATATGGCAAAAACTATATTATTAAGCACTAGATGGCAATATCATCTAGAGTTATTTTATATACACACTATGGCAACACCGTCTAAGGAGCAATTTTTCAACACGCAATATGGCAACATCGAATAAAGAGGTATATCATCAACACACAATATGGCAACAATACCTAAAGAGGTATATCATCAATCCACAATATGGCAACAATACCTAAAGAGGTATATCATCAACACAATATGGCAACAATACCTAAAGAGGTATATCATCAACACACAATATGGCAACAATACCTAAAGAGGTATATCATCAACACACAATATGGCAACAATACCCAAAGGGTTATATTATCAACACACAATATGGCAAAAGCGCGCGATAGTTGGCAACCGCGGCGGTGATTCATCTTGGCCACAACGGGGAAGAATTACTGCAATAATTACCATGATATCAACATTACTGCCGCCGCCCCGCAGGAGGCCAACACTGTAGGTTTATCCTGTGATTAACCTGCCAATATATTACAGCAGAGCGGGCGTACGGGCGGGTATGAGGGCGTCGGGCTCGTGTCACGCCCGTCAGACGCCCGCTGCGCACCTCGTCTAATTGTTTCTGCGCAGTCGGGGCGGCCCACTACTCATGTGGACGCTGAAGTAGTGTGATAGGATGAGAGTAAGGGGAGGAGGAGGGGAGAGGAGGAAGGGTGGAAGGAGAGGAGAGGGGTGGAGAGGGAGGGGTGGATGAGAGGAGGGTGGAAGGAGGAGAGGAAGGGTGAAGGAGAGGGGGGGGGGGGGGGGAGGAGAGGGAGGGGTGGGAGGAGGAGAGGGAAAGGGGTGGAGGGAGAGGAAAGGGTGGGAAGAGAAGGGATGGAGGACGAGGTGTGGGATGAAGAGAGAGGCAACATAGGTGACATGATGAGCAAGTTGGGGAGGTAGTGGGTCAATCATACCAAGGTGTGGTGAGAAGAGAGAGAGAGAGAGAGAGGGATAAAAAGAGGAATAGAGTTATGAGAGGAAGAAAAAACAATTGAAAAAGAGAGAGAGAGAAGATAACGAGCAGAATATTGATAAATGAACAAAGAACAGTAAACAAGATAATAATGGAGGAATTAACCACTGAACGGACTCAGGTGTTTCTCAACCACTGAACGTAAAGAACAACGTGTGAGGAAGGTGACAATAGGTAAACGTGACTACAACGAGGGGAGGTGAAAGACCCGTGATAGGCACCAAGGACTCTTCTCATGACAGGCACCCCTATAGCTCTGCACATAACAGGCAACCCATGACAGGCACCCCTATAGCTCTGCACATAACAGGCACAGGCACCCCCATGACTCTGCACATAACACACCACATCATCAACTAAGACATGAGTGATCTGCCGCTGTCAACTTCACCTCTTAAGGCAAGGATTCACAGCCACACCTTCAGTGACAATGGTGAAGGGAGAGAGACAGTGCATGACGGCCTTCTATTGAGTTTGTCCCTACTGACCTAAGTTGGCGGTGCATGACCCAGGGGAAAACAGTGATAGATAAAAAGGTTAGGTTAGGTTAGGGGATAGAGGCAGTCGGGGATGGATGCATGTATGTGTGTGATTCTTAAGTCATGAACCAGTGCCACGTTTTAGTTCAGTGCCACATGATCTGAAAACTTCACAGTGATATATAATCGATAAATTTCGGACAGTGTCATATTACCAAATAGTTCCACACAGTTACACATTTCCAGAAAGTTTCAGACAGTACCTCAGTATCAGGAAGCTCAGACAGTGCCATAGTATCAGAAAGTTGTAGACAGTGCCACAGTATCAGAAAGTTTCAAACAGTGCCACAGTATCAGAAAGTTCAGACAATGCCACAGTATCAGAAAGTTTCAAACAGTGCCACAGTATCAGAAAGTTCAGACAGTGCCACAGTATCAGGTTGTGACAGTCACAGTATCAGAAAGTTTCAAACAGTGTCACAGTATCAGAAAGTCAAACAGTGCCACAGCATCAGAAAGTTTCCAAACAGTGCCACAGTATCAGAAAGTTTCAAACAGTGCCACAGCATCAGAAAGTTTCAAACAGTGTCACAGTATCAGAAAGTTTCAAACAGTGCCACAGCATCAGAAAGTTTCAAACAGTGCCACAGCATCAGAAAGTTTCAAACAGTGTCACAGTATCAGAAAGTTGTGACAGTGCCACAGTAACAAAGCTTCAAACAGTGCCACAGTATCAGAAAGTTTCAAACAGTGTCACAGTATCAGAAAGTTGTAGACAGTGCCACACTAACAAAGCTTCAAACAGTGCCACAGTATCAGAAAGTTTCAAACAGTGCCACAGTATCAGAAAGTTTCAAACAGTGCCACAGCATCAGAAGTTTCAGTGTCACAGTATCAGAAAGTTGCAGACAGTGCCACAGTAACAAAGCTTCAAACAGTGCCACAGTATCAGAAAGTTTCACATAGCCCCAACATACTACTGACACCCCCCGGCTACAGTCTTATGCCCCCACCACACCAGTGATGGGATTAGCCTTTCTAGTGTTCCTCCTCCTCCCTCCCTCAATAATGCCTCATTTTGTTTTACCCCCAGGGAGGCCACTGTTCCTCCCTCACACCCCCTCCAGTACTCACAACCCTTCCACAGTACCTCCCACAACGCCTCCAGTACCTCCCCCCACACCCCTCCAGTACCTCCCCCACAACCCCTCTCCAGTACCTCCCCACACCCCCTCCAGTACCTCCTCACACCCCCTCCAGTACCTCCACACCTCCAGTACCTCCCCCACAACCCCTCCACAGTACCTCCCCCCACACCGCCCCGCACCTCTCCTCACACACCCGCCCCTCTCCACCACACACCCGCCCCTCTCCCTCACACACCCGCCCCTCTCCACCACACACCCGCCCTCCCTCACACACCCGCCCCTCTCCACCACACACCTGCCACTCCTCCAGCTGATAAACGATAATATCAAATAAATGCCATCATATAAATGTACAGCATACAGTCACCTTCAAGAGAGCTGCAACACTGGAACGACTAAGCCACTTCATTATTGTTGTTGTTCACTTTATATCTATATTAAATCTGACTAAATAAAGTGTTTCGTTCCAGTTCGTTCCACTACACATTTCTGTACGTTTTCTACCCACAACCAAGCCGTTTACCATCGTTCTTAAACAACTCTGCGTTACTAATATAAATCAAGCAAACTTCTCCTACTGTACCATCAACATTAAGGAACAGAAGCGAACACTGACACCATCTTAAAACTTGGGCTTCGATTTCCGATGTTATAATCCTCAAAATACGTGGGGGTGATCCTGGTGGAGGAGGGCGTGGGGGAGCGTGTCAGGTGTCTTCAGGTCGTGCCGCAGCGCCTCAGACACGGATTAATGATGTCTTATGTGCTGACACTCGACACCTGTACGCTGCACCCCCCCCCGACACCCCCACGGTGCCATGCATGCCATAACCAAGACGAGTGAGAGGGAGGGGGGAGGGGGGAGGGAATTCTTACACGCCTATACAAATGTTACGGATCATATGAAGATTAGACCCCCAGATTTTCACCCTGAATAAAACGTGTGAAAATAAATTCCCCCGACATACACACACATACACACACACACACACTTAACACAAACATACACACACTTGCAAGCACACAAACAATCTCTCTCTCCTTGTTCATCATAGTGTGTGTGTGTGTGTGTGTGTGTGTGTGTGTGTGTGTGTGTGTGTGTATGTGTGTGTGTGTCATGCCGTCACTTTTCACACTCAACAGTTCACACAAGACCCTAGTACACATAACATCCTCAACACATACACATGATTCAATGGCACAGGTGTGGTGGTACGCAGGTGTGTTTTGATCTGGTACGAGAGAAAGTGAGTGAGTGAGTGAGCGAGTTGATAGCTTCTGGTGAGAGAGAAAAGTTATCACTAAAGTCGCACTGAGCCCCCAAGAAGGACACACTTCTTGACGTACGACAGTAGAACGTACAGACCTCTCAACATACGACACGGAAGGAGCCAACCAGCACCAACAGCACCGTCAGTAGAAAGCCGAGGGTAGTAAGTGTATACTGTAGACACCAACACCTCGGCCTGGCCCACTACCAGGTCGCCACCACAACAATAACCAAAACAAGGCAGGAAGTCCTCGGCTATAACAACAGTCGGCAGGAAGGAAGTGAGATGAACACCATAAACCTAATGACGAAGGTGGAGAGCGACACTCGTGACACACAAATGACACATGGAGAAACTTTTTGAGGTGACATGTTGCTCGTGTGACTGAACCGTCTGGAAGGCCTGAACTTGCCACTGACTGACAGACAGACTGACAGACACACACACACACACACACACGAACAGTATCGTGCACATTGAACCTTAACTACACGTACTGTACTACATAATCATAAAATATGGATCACGCGCGCGCGCACGCACGCACGCACGCACGCACGCACGCACGCACGCACCACGCACGCACACACACACACACACACACACACACACACACACACACACACACACACACACACACACACACACACACACACACACACACACACACACACACACACACACACACACACACACACACACACACACACACACACACACACACACACACACACACACACACACACACACACACACACACACACACACACACACACACACACACACACACACACACACACACACACACACACACACACACACACACACACACACACACACACACACACACACACACACACACACACACACACACACACACACACACACACACACACACACACACACACACACACACACACACACACACACACACACACACACACACACACACACACACACACACACACACACACACACACACACACACACACACACACACACACACACACACACACACACACACACACACACACACACACACACACACACACACACACACACACACCAAATAACTATTGGTGTTATAACTGTGTATCAAAGTTTATATCACACAGTCAGGTACACTATGTGGGTAAAATAAATAATATCCTATTGAGCAGTTCCTTCCTGTGTCTGCTGTTGTAGTTAATGTAACAACAAGATAATCATTTAATTGACTGATCGATTGACTGTTTATTCTGCCAGAAAATACAGCTACAAAATAAACAATAACAACAATAGTAACATGGCTGGTTTGAGACTATTTGTAAAATGAAATATTCTGTATTTTATTTAATTCTTGTTTTCACTGTATCTAAAAAATTATCACAACCACAGGTACAAAATACAGGTACAGAAATGACCTACACGTAACAACCTTCACACCTGTGTTACGGGTTCAGTCAGTAATAACACCTGTTCAGACTAACTCTTTTATGATAGGCATTTTCGCACGCACGCGCGCACAAGCACACATACACGCATGCAAGCACGCACGCAGGCAGGCAGGCAGACATGCATGCACACATATACACAAAGAAAGAGAGAAAGAAAGAACCCACCTCCTCCCTGTTGGCATCATACAGAGGCACTAAATGGCCCCCTCAGTGCCACCTTTATATCACAACATGTGGCGTGAACCTCTCTGCCCGGGGGATGAATAAAAGTAGTTTATTCCAATGATACATGACACTGGTTCCCGGAGCTGCCACCAGGAGGACCACCACCAACAACATGGACTTAGTTTGATAATTTGGATCCCGAGTGTTAGAAGACCATGTTCATTAACTCGTATCTGTATTTTTACCTGTATAATTATGTATTTGTACCTGTATTTATAACTGTACCTCGTATATAAATTGTGATTTTGGAAAACCTGGAGAAGGTAAAGTAATTTTGGACATGGTCTCTCTCACTATGGTACAACACCCACACGAGGACACGACTCACAGTTCGCCACAGAATCGGGTTACTGACAACATCTGGCTGCGGGCAAACATGTCTTAAATATCAATTGGTATCTCGAAAGAGTTACAATACACTTACCTTCAAATCTTCGTTCACTGCCCCAATATCATCGTTCACTTCGGATCAGAGAACACACGTAGAGATGGAAGTTGTAATAAACGACAAATAACGACAAACAGTAGATAATACGTAAACATTGAACCCATCTGGCCACACAGGTTAATTACAGGTAAGAGATGGAGAAAAAAATAAATGATTGTTTAGCGGTTTATTTCCATCACTAGATGATATGATGACCTTCGCCTGCATCTCACCTGGCGCGGCTGATCGAGTGTTCAATCAGCATAATTTGATCATAAAATGTAAATAAACGTAACTGGGCGTCTGATAACAAAAAACACCCGAGGATTGGCAACTCCTAAGTCGTAAATATTCATAATAAACAGTCTAGCTGGTAACTCACTCCCTCAGGTGTATAAATTAATATACCTGTTGGAATTTGCATCGACTTCAACACATGAAAAACCATTCAATAAACATCAACACATATAAAGGTATAACTTAAAAACAAAGTCAATTACGAAACATAAATAAATTCACAAATATTAAAGGAAATTCTCGGAAGGTTATGGTTAATAATTTTTCATAATTTATTGTTCAGATACGAAAAGCAGCGTCAAGGTGAATCATCATAGTGAGTGTTTCCTCAATTACACGTGATTCTGATGAATATATGAATACCTGATGACTGACACTACCTCACAGCTGACACTACCTGATGACTGACACTACCTGACGGCTGAAACTACGACAGCTGACACTACCTAATGACTGACACTACCTGACGACTGACACTACACTGATCTACATACCTGACGACTGACACTACTCTGATCTACATACCTGACGACTAACACTACACTTATCTACATACCTGACGACTGACACTACACTGATCTACATACCTGACGACTGACACTACATTGATCTACATACCTGACGACTGACACTACACTGATCTACATACCTGACGACTGACACTACACTGATCTACATACCTGACGACTGACACTACACTGATCTACATACCTGACGGTTGACACTACACTGATCTACATACCTGACGACTGACACTACATTGATCTACATACCTGACGACTGACACTACACTGATCTACATACCTGACGACTGACACTACACTGATCTACATACCTGACGACTGACACTACACTGATCTACATACCTGACGGTTGACACTACACTGAACTGAATACATGATGACTGACGCTACACTGTGTATACTGACCCCTGCGTCCCGTCACTTGTCACATAAATAGACCACCAACTCCATAGTAACACATATACTGACTCTATTATCTCATGTATACTGACTATTATATATACTGACTCTATTATCTCATGTATATTGACTCTATTATCTCATGTATACTGACTCTATTATCTCTTATACTGACTCTATTATCCCATGTATACTGACTCTATTATCCCATGTATACTGACTCTATTATCCCATGTATACTGACTCTCTTTCATAATCATCCTATATCCAGTTATTCGCACTACAAGAACAGTTATAAACAGTCACAAGCCACAGTCAGTCTATACTCCCATAGGCTTCAAGACCAGTTTGGGACAGTTACAAAAGTACAGTCATCGGTATACAAGGAGACTGTGTGGCCGGTACTGCACTCGACCGCCTTCACTTCCTCAGCTGTCAAGTTAGGTACCCGTTTACAGTTGGGTGGACTGTGGGTGACCTGGATGTGAACAAGCAACCATTAAGACAGCAGAACCAGGAACAGTAACAGTAACAGAAACAGCAGCAGCAGAACCAGGAGCAGTAACAGTAGCAACAACAGTAACAACAGCAGCAGAACCAGGAGCAGTAACAGTAACAACAGCAGCAGAACCAGGAGCAGTAACAGTTAACACCAGTAGCAGTAGCGGCAAAGTGACCATGAACCTACCAGTTATTATCGTGGATTTGGGCACGAAATAATAGGCTAGGATACCGGTCAATTATAGGGCGCCGGTGAGCCTCCCGTGTCGGTCGTCGGGGTTAGATATCAGTCGTCGGGATGGACAGTCGGGGTCAGATATCAGTCGTAGGGATGGAGAGTCGGGGGTCAGATATCGGTTCGTTGGGATAGACAGTCGGGGTGAGATATCGGCAGGTAACATCTCCGACCTGCCGGCTGGACACACACAAACCAGACAGTCGTAATGGCGGGCTCTTAAACACACAATGGCTACCAGGGCAAGGCATCACCCGACCTATACCTTAAGCCAACTTATTGTACGGTAAAAAACAAACAGCTTCTGCCTCCTGTTCCACACGCTGTCTAATGAACAAGTTGACTCCGTTGCCTTTGTTGTGCACAGTGAACTATGAGGCGGTGTGCCAGATGGTGTGAACGGCACCAGCTGGGGGAAGAGGTCCATCATGGCACTCACCTGTGTCACCTGACTGATGGTTCTCTCTCTGTTACCTGTATACACGTGGCTGCTCACTTGGCTGCCGAGTGTCACACACCTTGTACTACACAGGTGCGCCATGATGTGGGTTAAAGTATGGTCACAGCTGCGAATAGAATGAAAAAGTAGTCGCGTGCAGTGCCAACCACACTGTCTCCAAGTGTAGTGAAGGTTTAGTGTTCACTTTGATGTATCCTTCACTGCCCGCACTTAAGGGATCACCTTCCCCTTTTTTTACAGAACTATATTTAAGAATGAATTATAGACGCCACCATCAACATTTTACATTGACACAATCTCATGATGTGACAAAACCAACAACAATTATGTTAGGTAAACAAACACGCCACGAGGCACTGGTGGTGGTATATCACAGTCAGCTGACACTACATCAACAACCTGGCCCTATCAACAATAACTCGCCCTCACACTCCCTGCTTAGACAGTGTCAGTATGGCGGTGGGACGGCCTCAACACATCTTATCTTTTGACAGCAGCATCACTAAGCACTGGCGGCCTCCTCGTCCACCTGGCCACACACACTTACTATGAACGGTGACTTGTAGGGCTGACGGCGGGGGCTCCTCTGGAAGTCCTCGGGGGTGTAGGGAGACATCCTGGAGCAGTAGTTCCTCGTTTCTTATAGGCCACCTCCGGTACACACCTCTGGCTCACTACACACTCTGGTCACTTCACTGAGTCAAACGTAAAAATGTTCCTCTGTTTACCTTCTGTGATCACTTCAGTACAATACAACACCAGATTTTAACGTTTAAACTGACAGATATAAAACTTCTTTAATAATAGTTTTAAGCAACGTTTTGGTTTAGCTTGTAAGAATACGTTTAAAGGTCCGTCGTTCAGCAGTGCCACGTGACTGGTAACGAGATTGTGGTAAGGTAAGAGAGGTAGTGCCAGTAGCAGGCCGGGAGGCACCGAGGTGGTGGTGATGTGGCTGGGCACTGGACCCCACCACTACTACCACCACCCCTTCACCCATCTACACACACTTTTCTCCCTCCCCATACACACACCCCTCCCCCTCACACACCCCTACTAACACACCACTAACTACCGTGAATCATCTATAAATCACCAATCAGCATCAGTCGTGAACTTAACGCTATAATAACAAGCGACGCCAATAGGGACATCAGCAACCTCCATGACCCGCCGTTGCCCCACACCAAGCTCCTCCCGCGTTATTTTAATCTGCCGCCCCCACCCGCCGCCCACACCACCCACAGCCACCCCCAGCGGCGGATACAACACGTCACGCGCGCATAAAATGCTAACCCTCACATCCATACTGTTCTCATTATTGTGTGACTGTCATAAACTCACTCCCTCGTCAACACTTAACAGAGTGGGTGGTGGTGTGGTGTGGTGTGGTGTTTAAAGTTATCTTCACTGAGCTTTAACGAATATTGACACACACACACAACACACACACACACACACACACACACACACACATTTGATCACATCCTTGACGCCGTCCTATGAGCTGCGCGAGGTTCTTGTCACACGAGAGGTTGACCGTGTACCTGGTCATTACTGGTCTCCTCTTACAAGAAACTGCTGGAATGTTGTATACGACTTGACCAAACACATAGTGGTGTTGGAGTCTTATGGCCGCGAGGGTTGTCCAAATATGATCTACATAAAACTTTTATGATGGCCTGCTCTTGGCTGGATCACGCGCGGGGTACCAAACCAAGGACACACACACACACACACACACACACACACACACACACACACACACACACACACACACACACACACACACACACACAAAATTATTCCTTTTTATGACTCGTTTCTCAGTATAGTCAATAAAATCACACAATTTTCAGCTACAACAGATCCTCTCGTCGGCAACTGTTTATTGGATGATCGGAGAGAATTATCAGAGAAGGTCGGGTCCTCCTCACACACCTCCAGGAGCGTTGTGTTTCACTGAGCGGGTCGGTGTGTGTGTGTGTGTGTGTCTGTGTGTGTGTGTGCGATGACGGTGGCAACACTGACGCCTGTTAGCGGTGGGGGTGGCTGCCACACACACACACACACACACAGACACACGCCCGGGTAAACACACCACAACAAACACTACACTCACGTTATGAACATTTGGTTGTAATTGATCACTTGTTCTCGAGTTATGAATCACTAGAGCAGATCAGACGGGCACGAGACAGTCTTCCCCTTGATCACTGTGGGATGGCAAATGATTCCCTTCGTAACCAAGACTTGATCCTCAGTCATGTCCGACCCTCTACCGCCCGCTGCCACACGCTGACAGTTACAATGATTACCAGCATTGTGAGTGACATTCCCTGAGCTTTTACACTCCAGATAAACACCATCAATCGTGTATTTTACAAACTCATAATAATTCTGAGGTTCTTGTGTCGTAAATCTCCTCAAAAGAGAATAAATACTGTGGATCATATTGACGTATCAAGCGAGCAGTGGCACTATAGGTTACATTTGGCGCGCGGCCCGGCCAAGTGATGCAACAACATCAACCATCAGGAAATATCACCCGCGATTACAACTCGACGCGCGGTAGTCGTACAAAAAAAAAAGCTAAAAAAAAACAGCTAAACAAAAACGTACTATACATGTGTTGTGGGTCATATTGCCAGTGCAAGATTAGAGGGTTGAGGATGGCCTTACCGCCCTAAACAAAGACAGGAGGGAGGAAGAGATTTCAAACACACACACACACACACACACGACCTATATACAATACCGACATCATCACCATTTCCGAGTAGTGTAAACATTAATTTCGATGACGCGGGACCTTCTTAGAAACCTTACCGTCGTCGATTAAGATTCTCGTTTGGATAATGTTACTCATAGGAAGTCCCAGCGTTGAGCAGTGAATCATTTCGGAATGTCTAGTAGTAGGTGGAGAGGTGGAAGGGCGGTGGGGGTGGAGAGGTGGAAGGTGGAGAGGTGAAGGGCGGTGGGGGGTGGAGAGGTGGAAGGGCGGTGGGGTGGAGAGGTGGAAGGGCGGTGGGGGTGGAGAGGTGGATGGGCGGTGGGGGTGGAGAGGTGGATGGGCGGTGGGGATGAAAAGGTGCCCGTGGAGGGGTGGAGAGACTGAGGGAAGTAGAGAAATTGAGGGGGGGTGGAGAGGTTGAGGGAGGTAGAAGGGAGGGGAAATGGAGGGGCGGAGAGGTTGAGGTACTGAGGAAAGAGGTGGAGGGGAGGTAGAGAGTGACATTCTATACTTCCGTTTAAACAGTGAATGTAGACGATGATGTTGCGTATATAATGTGTGACTCACTTCCACTCCAACGATACCAACAGCTGCTTATACTTCATGACCCATCAAAAGTAATAGCAATGAATATAATCACTATATTTTCTGAGTATAATCAACACACACACACACACACACACACACACACACACACACACACACACACACTGCTTTTACGACTCTTGCAACATAAAATAGTTTCCTAATACTGCGTCAAGGCTTTGTTAGGACGAGTCGTGGCGGCCAAGAGGAGGTACTGTACAGCCACTCCCAAAACTCACTGGACACCTGAATATTACACACCCCAGCTTATATTCACCCGGATATTACACATCCCAGCTTATTTCACCCGATTACACACCCCAGCTTATTTCACCCGGAGATTACACACCCGAGCTTATTTCACCTGAAGCTTACACACCCCATCCTACTTTAAATGAAAATTATCCACCCTTCTTTGAGGGGAAGGTTAGATTGGGTTAGGTTAATTTAGGTTACATATGGTTTAGTTAACATTTAAGTGGTTAACTTTGTAAGCTGGGATGTCAAATCTTCAGGTGAAATAAACTGGGTGGTCTAATCTACAGGTAATACCCTAACGTGTACTTGTAGGTCGTAGTGTTATTTTCTATTTTTCATTAAGAATTAGTTCAGAATAAAAAAAAAAAATGAAAAAATAATAAAAAATAAAAATAAATAAAATAAAAAATAAAATAAAATAAAAAATAAAATAAAAATATAATAAAGTAAAATAACAGAAAAATCACAGTAAATACAAGTTAATATCCTGCTCCTGCTCCTCGCCGAATATGGCTACAAGTGTTCAAGGAATTTTCTCCGCAACTGTAAATTGTCGCGTGTGTGTGAGTATATGGATGGATGGATGGATGTGTGTGTGTGTGTGTGTGTGTGTGTGTCCATTGATATAAGCCTCATTCATTAGGGCTGGCTAGTTTACCCATCAGACGTTCCCCGCGACACAAACAGGGCATTGGACAAGACAACAAACTCGCGCACGTCAGCACACAAGAGTAGCCATCGAGCTATCTGGACCTACCATCAGGGAACAAGACTATTAATGAAATTCTCCAGTGAGGACGGAGTGTTGTGAGGCCCTAGAGGAAGGGCTGGGGAGGGCTGGGTGATGGGACAGGTAAGAATGATGGGCTAGGTGATGGGGCAGGGAGGTGGGGAGAGGGAGATGACTGGGATGATGGGTGAGGGGAGGGTAGGAAGGGCTGGTGATGGGTCAGGGGAGTGTAGGAAGGATGAGGAGGGGACAGGTATGGTGATGAAGGACTGGGTGATGGGACAGGTAAGGATGATGGGCCAGGTGATGGGGACAGGTGAGGGGGGAAGTCCATGACCAATCACCAGGCTCCCTCACCCTCCACCAAGACCACTGAGAGAGAGAGAGAGAGAGAGAGAGAGAGAGAGAGAGAGAGAGAGAGAGAGAGAGAGAGAGAGAGAGGAGAGAGAGAGAGAGAGAGAGAGAGAGGAGAGAGAGAGAGAGAGAGACCCAGCTTCCTGCCATGACAAACTATTATCTTTGGTGTCGTCAGGTGAAGATGTGTGGAAACATGTCTGGAATGACACTTGTCTGAGCCATTACCTGTGTCGCTCAGGGTATCTCTCTCTCCCAGGTGCCACACATACCAGGGAGATCTGTGGGCGACTGAATCACTCCTTATTGGTGGTGATGTGCTGTCATGCTCACCTCCCCGCCCGCCCAGTCATCCTACTACCCGCCCACCCACTCATTCATTTTCCCTTTTACTAGTCTACCCACCCACCCACCCTGGCGCCCACCCTCCCGTCCGCCCATCCACCCATCCACTCATCCTCCCGTCCGCCCACCCATCCACCCAATCTCCCATCTCCCCATCCGCCCACCCTCCCGTCCGCCCACATACCAGCCCTTTTCATCCCTCCCTTATCACGTCATCTAACAGTATCTTGCGTGTTTAAGGAAATGGTTTTGGGATACGACATCATGGTGTGTCCTAGGACATAGGCAATATGGTCAATAAATTACATATTAGCATACTGATGCGTGTCCCGGGAGGTAGGTGGGAGCGTCAACACACCGCCAGACGCCTTCCCGGAAACGATTCAACACTCGGGAGGGTTTATGGGCCAATGATGCCAGTGGCGGTGACCCGGGCAGCAGGAAATAGTTCACCGTCAGTAAATCTTTCCCCTACGCCTTTGTGCCGCGTCAGGAGGTCGAGTAAATGGCGTTACCACGATTCACGATGGACGACTGAGAAACCTGAACCTCCTCCTCCTCGTCCTTCTTCCTCCCTCCTCCTCCTCCTTCTCCCGTATAAGCGTCAGAGCCTACATTAGTTCCTGGACCACACTGACCGACATCCCCTCATCATCGCCAGCACGAGCAATCAGCAGTGCCTGGCAAACATTTCCCTCCATCCCCCAGTGTCTCAATTATGTTTGCTACACTAGATGAGCGTTCGCCTGTCTTCTGCCAGCGGTGGCGTTCATCATCGGCAGCACAACCCCCAAGTCTCACCATTGAATGATTTTTTTGTTGTCGTTCTCAAGGTCCTCACCATCATCATCCCTTCCTTTCCCTCCTCCTACTACGCTTCTGGTCTTCCTCCCTCCCTCATTCATTCATTCCTTCCTCCCTCCCCTCCCTCTCTTCCTCCCTTCCCCCACTCCCCACCCGCTACACTTTTTTTGCCATTTGCTTTCGATACACATTTCCTTCTCCTCTTCTTCCTCCTCTCTTCTTCCTCCCCTTCTTCATTCTTCTCCCCTTCCTCTTCCTTTCCAGAATTCTATATCTTTGCATCCCTTTCTCCTCCTCTTCCTCCTCCCCTTCATCCACCTCTCTCCCAGCTCCTCCACATCCTGTCTCTATTCTCGTTGACCCTCCCCATTCCTCACCCTCCCTTCCCCCAACACGTTATACAGACCCTCCAGTGGCCACAATACAGGGGGCTGAACCAGACCTGTTGTGAGGAGAACAGCTGATCACACCACCAGACACCTGTAGACCTGGGAGGACAGGTAGAATAGGTCCTCCTGTCTCTTTAAATTACCTCACTTAAACGCCATTTTGAGAGAAAGAGAAATAGAAATTATCTCTCTCTCACTCTGGTATCCTGTATGTGGTGTGTGTGTGTGTGTGTGTGTGTGTGTGTGTGTGTGTGTGTACACCAACAGGTAGTGAGGGTACCACACACGTGATACAATCGTTTTGTTTTGATGCTGGATGGATCTGTAACCCCCCTCCCCTCCCCCTCCTATTGTCTCACCAATCCCTCTCTCCTAAACCATCCTCCCACTCATCCCCATCACTCCTTCACGTCCCCCTACCGAAGAGAAGAGAAGAGAAGAGAAGAGAAGAGAAGAGAAGAGAAGAGAAGAGAAAAAGACAGACAGACAGACAGAGAGGGAGAGAGAGGGAGTGAGACAGGGAGTGGGGGAGGGAGAGAGGCTCAGGTGATCAAAACAAAGAGATAATATCAATGGTCGACATTACGCCGCCCTGGGGGATCCCTTCACCCCCCCTGCCTGACCTTAATACGACTCCTCATAATACTTTATAAGTGACCACGTGTATAAGTGGCCACGCATGTAAGTGGCCATGTGTGTAAGTGGCCAGGTGTATAAGTGGCCACGTGTGTAAGTGGCCACGTACGTAAGTGGCCATGTGTGTAAGTGGCCATGTGTGTAAGTGGCCAAGTGTGTAAGTGACCAGGTGTATAAGCGGTCACGTGTGTAAGTAACCATGTGTAGACTACTAATAAGAGAGAGTTGAACTATACACTAAGTGGCCAAATACACTACTGAGCGAGTTTAATAACAAGTGGACAGATGAATGAACAACACTTTATAAGTAAACGTCTGTGTTTCTAATTACGGATCTCCACTGAGGGTCATACTACCACCGTGAAATAGTTACTTATAG